ACAACCCAATGGCGACCCATTGCTGAATATAGATCAACCACCATATATGTCATGATGATATCGCTCGAAATAGCTATAAAACTTTTGTTGTGGTATGATGCGATATTTATACCACATATACACAGTTGTTGTAACATGCACAAATTCAAAATGGAGATGGATGCAAGTATTCATGTCTTATAAACTCTAAACTCACATGCCGACAATGAAGTACTGATACTTCAAGAAGTTCACATGGTAGCTGTATGTTTGAAATTATTGTAAACAACTATGCATCAGAATTGTCACGTCAACTTTTATGACTTGAACAACTATGTATCAACTTTATAGGAGTTGTCACTTTGACTTTTATTTACTACTCAGTGCATATCTGAAGGTTTTAAGCAAAGTTCAAATCCGCTTAGAAATTTAATTTCACTTTTCCGCTTACAAATATAATTCAATTTATTTTGCCTTGACAATATATTTAATTTCACTTTTCACCTTACATATTTAATTTAATTTAATTAGAGAAATTTGACAAATTTAATTTCAAGTTAACTATGTGTTGATTTAAGTCGGTGTTGTTCTTGTCTGCATACTATGCTAGCTTTTATCTGTAACACTTTCCAGTTCTATACATCGAAAAACCCATTCATTTTAACTCTATTACAAATTAATCTTCAATACATTCTAACTCTATAATATTTTCTCTTCAAGGTTTATGAATCTATTTTGAGCTGCATAGGGTGGCTTTTTAAACACAAAGGGTCTAATTGTTTTGTTGTTTTGTTCTGACACCCCCTCATCCCATTATGAATTGCAGAAATTCACATAGGCACAATAGTTATGGTACGATAATAAATTGTAGCTCGGCGCAGTGATACGTCCAACATTTCTCAGTGATGCAGTGATGCAGTGACTTTAACAGACGTAATAAATTGTATGCTTGTTTTTTCCTTAGATGCTATGTGACTTTGTGCAGCGATGCGGTGATGCATGTGACTTTTTTCCTCAGATGCATGTGATGCATGTGACTTTCTACAGTGATGCATGTGACTTTGTGCAGTGATGTAGTGATGCATGTGACTTTATGCAGTGATGCATGTGACTTTGTGCAGCGCAACTTAGATGCTTTGTTTTTTCCTCACATTTTAGAATTCATCTAAGTCATATTAATACGACCACATGGTAATAGTGTTGACAAACAACTATATAAAGGACTGAAGGAGTGATGGTAAACACACAACCTTTCTACTTAGTTCGCCCTAGGAAACTATCGTTTATCTATTGAGAAAAAATCAAATGGAGTATAGATTCATGGCAGGGGGTAGGAATCGCAGAGATGAGAGTTCACGATGAGGAAGAGGAATGGGAGGGGACTCGCAGGGGGTAGGAACTTCGAAAGAGGTGAGAGTTCATGCTGAGAAAAAGGAACGGGAAGGGGAAGTGGCGATGTTGAAGATGAAACACCATTTACTTTGTTGGATGCCTCTTGTGCTTATCATGATAGGTTTGGGAAGCAACATTTTGTCATGCCCAAGTACTATCGAGATCCATGTGGTTTCGTGGAGGATCCATCTAATAATAAAACAGGATATGGTTTAGCAGACGCTAGACTTCTGAAGTGGCCCACACTATTTATAGAGCGAGTACAAATGGAAAGATTATGTCGGAAAAATCGATTGAGGTGCCGAAAGCACGTTCAGTTCAGATCCAAAAGGAAGATCCAGATAATGTTGATCGACTATGTGAAAGACTTCGACGTGAGATTTCTCAAATGAGCCGTAGGTCAGCCCGTGATATGAAACTATCTATATTTAAGTCGGATGCCAAGAAGAACGAAACAACACCAAATGTTGTGGCTATCAAGGCTATCACGTCTCTCTGACCTTGAGCTCTCTGATTGTTCGGACTCTGAGATTGCCAATTTGAGCGAGGATTAGGCGTCTATCTATCTACTAAATTATATTAGGTTATCCATAATTATGTGTTGTGTGTGTTAAAATAACTCTTTTAACAATGAGTTTGTGAAAGGTTTGTCTAATATTTGTCTATGTAACTGCTAAGTATTGTACTCGTCGCTTTATTTTATGTTTCGTGTTATGTTAAATGTTTCTACAAATTATTTTTGTGGAATACTTATGTTTGAACTAGTTTCGGCGTTCTAAAGTGTTATAAGTGTTATAGGTGTTATAGTCATACCTTTATTTTGTTTTTCTGTTCGTAGTAGTAATTAGCAAAGTAGATACTTTGTATATGTTGTGTAAAGTTTTATTTAAATATTTCTTAGCAACAAAAATTTAAAGGAACAACAAATATTTAGTTTCGAAAATTTTGCAAAAGTAGGCTTAGTTTGGGAAATAAATTAATCGGGTTTAGTTTGGGAAAAGCCCCAACAAAATCTCTCCGAAACTGCGCAAAATGTTCTCTGGGAGGGTGCGTGTCTTGAGGCCATTATTTTCTTCTTCTTTTTTAATTATTAATTTTTTATTTGTTATTTTTATTTTTGTCCATCATCGATCTTTTTTAAATTATATTTGAATTATATAACAAAATAAAATTTTAATTTAAAAATTTATATTTAAATAACAATTTAAAAAATATCAGGTAAATTAAGCAAATATTTAATTTATATTTTTTACACAATTCACTACTCTTTAGACAATGCATGCTGTTTATTTTTTAAAAATTTTATGTATAAATTATTTATATAAATATCAAATTGATCTGATAATCGTACATATAATTTTATCATTTTTTTAAAAAAAAAATAATGGATGCGAAACATAATTTCAAAATTACATAATTTATTTTTAAATATTAAAATAATAAAATTTGGTTGTTAAGATTGTTTATTAATACAATATTTTATATGAATAATTTATATATAGAGATCTATAAGATGACTGCACGAATTATAGAATGTGGATTGAATAATAATAATAATAATAATAATCAACAGTGATGGAGCGGTTGCAGTTATAAAAGCGTGGTTACGAACCACGTTTTCCTTTAAAACCGAATTTTGGTTAAAAGCGTGGTTATCATCCACGCTTTCTTTAGTCAACAGTAAAAGCGTGGTTGCGAATCACATTTTCTGAAAAAATCAAATTTTATTTAAAAGCAAATTTCCTTAAACGCGTGGTTTGTAACCACGCTTTTACAATTTTACCAATTTTCTGCGGCTGGACCAAAAATATGATGAAAACGTGATTTGTAATAGCATTTCAGCTTATTTTAAAAATTCCGTCCAAATTAGGCCTAATTTGAGAAATAAATTGCTATTTTAACTTATTTTGGGAAAAGCTCCTCCAATGTGTGTGGTAGCTAAGGTGCGCAGCGATGATGTGGAATTCAATGTAGCACAATCGTCCTTATCTATTTCTATCAGTGCTGAGTCTTGTCATAGAGATGAGGCGCCTTCTAAGTGGAGACCCCCAGCTTCTGGTTTGTTTAAATTTAATTGTGACATGGCAGTGATGCCGAGGTCTTCTAGAGGAGCTATTGCAGTGGTCATACGAGATGCTCATGGAAGCCTTGTGGATGATATGGTTCGTATGGTAGCAGTGTCTTTAGCAACCCAAGGAGAGGCTTTGGCCGTTAGACTTGCATGTCTTATGGATTCCTCTTTGAATCAGGCCATAGTGGAAATTGAAGGGGATAACAGGCAGGTTATCCAATTGTGTCTCTGATGATGCACCACCTTGGGAGTGCAGCTCTGTTATTGCTGATATTAGGTCTATGATTAGGCACACCTCTCTGTCTTTTTCATGGTGTTCTAAGAAAGCAAATGGGACAAGCTTGTCTAGGGAGGTGTCCTCCTTGTAATTGGGTGTTTTCCCCTCTTGATGCTTTGTTATCTCTTTTATCATTTTCAATATAGTTTGTTCTTCGCTCAAAAAGAAAAAGAAAAAGGTGTAGATGAGTGATTTGGATAGACTATGAATTACTAGGATGTATGTGGTGGCAATCATAGGCAATAAAAGTGGGGCTTGCAATAGATGTGAGGTTTGTGATGGAGGGTTTGCGAAAGATGGAGGTGGGTGTAAGGGATGAGTTTTGCCGTAATGGTGATAGTGGTCGTGAATGATGGGGTTAGATAGGTAGGTGTAGGGGTGTAATTTTGGCCCGTGGCCCGCGGGTGGCCAGAAGTTCGAGATGGGCCCGGCCCGAGTCCAAGCCCAGCCCAATGCCTTGGGTTAGGGCCTGGGCCATCGTTTTGAAGCCCGGCCTACCCAGCCACACCGATTCCTAGTTTTTTTTTAATGAAAAATAATAAAATTTTGGTGGACAAAATTTGAAAAAAATTGTTTAGATCCGCCCAAAGTCCGAGCCCAAGCCCAGGCCCAAGCCCATGGGCTCGGCCCACTGGCCCACCCAAAACTTGAATATCTATGGGCTTAGTTTTCTAGCCCGTGGACCGGCCCGACCCGATCTGTTTTTTTGACGAAAACCCGCAAAGCCCAACATGAGCCCAACCCATTCGGCCTGGCTAAAATTACACCTTAGGTAGGTGGGTGGCATGACTTGTGATGGGGATGAGTAATAAAGAGATGAATAATATTAAAAGAGTAATGATTCATTCCCCCTTTTCCCCCACCCCCTTTGACCCCCTCTCTCTCATTGGTTACCTTTTCTTTTTCTTTTTCTTTTTTTTCATGCTCCTCCAATCACCCCTACCACGTGGCAAAGGGGGGTGAGGGGTGACCCCCAAAAGGGAGTCCCAAGCATTATTTATATTAAAAATAGTTGGGGAGTAGGTGTTATTAAGCTCAATATAGATCTTTGATCAAATTTTAATTTTGTATGAGTAAATGAATAATAAATAGTTAAAGGGTGGAAAAGTAAAAATACACTCGAATTTATCCGATAGGAAAAGTCAACATCATTTTAAACAATTAAGAAGATTCATTCAATAATAATAAAAAATGAGACAAAAAAAATTAATGTAACTTAACTTAATCATTAACATAGAATTGAATAAAACATTTATACACATCAAATATTACACAGTATTGTAATCAATAATTTGGTGCATTTTACTATAGATTTCAATTTTTTCAGAAAGAATCATGAAAATGTCATACATAACGAATTTGTTTTATTTAATTTTGTTATCATTAATTACAAGGGTAGGATCTTGTTAGTACATTTTATTAATGTATAGATCTCCCCCCTTTTGTATTTAATGATACAAAAATTAATAAAAAAAATATTTATTTATGTGTGAAAAAGAATAGTTCAAGAGAAGGTGTTTTCCATAAATTTTACAAATTCACCGAAATCTATCCTATCGTCTCCGTTATCATCAAAGGCACTGATCATCCTCCTGCAATTCCCAATCTCCGATCCCTCCTTGAATCCCAAAACACACACAACTCTCTGCAACTCCTTCGAATCAATGAATCCATCTCCGTTCTCATCAAACACGTCAAAAGCTCCCTTCAATTCCTCCAAACTCGGCTCCTTCTCTTCAAACAAGTTCGATAGGTCATCGGAGCCCAACTTCTCCACAAGCTTCTCATCTTCAGGGTTGCATAAAATCCCCAACCTCGCCATCACCATCTCAACATCTTCTCTGCACAGATGCTCATCTTCAATCTTCTCAGTATCAGAGCAAGCCAGGTGGTTGGAGTTCGACAACTCAAAATCCTGAATCTTATTCTTCACCGCCTGATGAGGTTTTAAATCAGCGAATTTGGATTTGATGAAAGACCCAGATGTTGATAAAATTTTATAAAATCTTCTGAGCTGGCTGAGAAGTACTTTCAACAAGAAGAACTGAAACATACAAAACACAACGCAAAATAGTGGAATTAAACTCTTTATCGATACGTTTTCGATGGGAAATTGGTTCGGATAACTGAGAATGAGAGACATGGCGAATAATAATAATAAATAATAATCTGTGTGCTGTGAGGAAAGAAAATAGAAATTAGATATTAGGAATGAATTGTATTGATGATGAGAGAGATGTTGGGATTGGAGGGGTTTATATGGGGATGATGAGATGAGTCGAGTCGGTGTTTGGAAGGGCGGCAATTCGGGGAAGGAGGAGAGAAGGTGGAGAGAACATGAAGAATTGTTGAGGAATGGAAGTTTCTTGGGTGCTGCTGCTGCCCCCTTGAGAATTGAGGCGGTGGGGGCATGCTGGCCTGATTTTAGTTGTCTAATTTTATTTATTTATTTTTTTGATGATTTTTAGAATACATTTTTACAAGTTAAACGGGAGAAAATTAGTTAATTTGTTTAAATTTTCGGATTTTTACTTGAGTAATAGGGAATTTAAATCTTAATAAATAAGGAGAGAAATAAATCTCTCTTATCAATTAGAATCTTGTAATGTTTTCATTTATTTTTATATTGTAAAATAAAATTATTTTATACATTAATCACAAATCATTTTGGTCCTTAGAAGTCTAATATGAGCAATTATTAAGTAAATTTAGAATATTATATGATAGAGGTTATATTACTTGTGACAAATGACAAACCGGAAACACACTATATGAGATAGGTTGGCTATCTTAAAATATTATTCAGCTTGTTTAATTGTGGTTTTTAGAAAATGATTTTTAAAAGATTTTATTTTTTTTATTTTTTGTATTTTAATATGTTTAATGAATTTTTTTTAATATTTTAAGCAGTTTTTTTAAATGTTTAGACACACCTAATATAAATACATTTAAAAAGTATAATATTTGTGAAAAAAATCTTTAAAAATGTACTAAATACCAAAAAATATAAAAAAATACGAAAACTAAGTACATTTTTAATATTTTTGTGTATTTTTTAATTTTTTAAAATATTTTTTTACAAATATTTTTTACTATTTAAATACATCTAAATAAGGTGCATCTAAAAGAATTAAAAATTACTTAAAATTTAACAAAATATTCATGAAAAATAAAAAACTTAATTTTTAAAAAACTAAAATCAAACATGCTAATTATTATTATATTAATTGAAAATATTATATAAATAATATCCTATGATATTTAAGGTTGTAGCAAAGCTAAAATGATCACTAAAAAAAAAAAAATTTAAAAATTTAAAAAAAAAAACACAAAAGAAAAAGTTACAGTGTGAGTTGGTCATCGTTGCATTAAATTAAATCGGAAAAATATTATGAAAATTATTATGAAAGATTTTTTATTTTTAAATTATATATATAATAAAATACCATACACTAATTAAAGAATGAAAAATTTTCATGAAATATTTTATGATACCTAATTAATGTTAGGTATTATAAAAAAAAATATCATGAAATGCTTCATAAAGATTTTTTAATCTTTAAATTACACATACAATAAAACACCGCACACTAATTAAAAGATAAAACATCTTCATAATCAAATTAATGTAATATAAAAATATTGTTATTATTATATTATTAAGCGAATTAATGTAATATAAAAATATTGTTATTATTATATTATTATTTTGAATTTGACTTGTTTTCAGTTGAAAGTTGAATTGAACCAAACAATTGAGATCTCTAATCAGTAAGAGTCATTAAACATATGACTCTTATAGGTAAACGTGTTTTTTTTAACAAATCTTATCGGTTAGAGATCTCAACTGTCTGATCTAATTAAAATTTTAATTGGAGACAAATCATTTCCTATTATTATTGTTTAATGTCAAACTGATATTTATGAGAGAAATTAAAACACAATTATACTAAAATAAAAAATAAACATCATACAAAACAAGTTGATGTTTGCCTGGAACTTAAAAAATTTGTTGAGCCACCGTGGAGATTGTCATTTGGTGGATTTGGAGGAGCAAAAGGATAGAAGAAAGTACGTTGAAGTTACATGGAATTTTTTTGAGTAGTCCCTGCGATAGATTTATATCTAAGACTTATTTTGACAATTAGAAAAAAAAATAATTTATTAACTTATTGATTTATTTATATCATATTATCCCTTTTTTTTCTTTTTCTTTTTATATCATATTATCTCTTTTTTTTTTTTTTGTACGTTTTAAAAAAAACAAAAAAAAAAATTCTCAAAATAGGCCTAAATGAAAAATGCTCCATTCTCGTAATTTTTTTATCTCTACATTCTCTCTAATAATGTGACAAAAAATATCAATCAATCAATTTTCTTCTTTCAAAATTATTTGTTACATCGTTAAAAAAAATTAAGAAGACTAGCATTAATTGCTCTATTTGAATTGACCTCAACCAGGAGCAATTACCCACAAACAAAGGTCACATGTTAGACCCTGTGCAACGCATTTTCCACGCATTGACTTGTTCAAAATCACAAGTTTAAAGTAGTCTACACTTCTATATATTTCAACCCTCTTTTCTCATTCTTTTTTACAAGTTTTTGTGGTCTCCTAAACGAGGGGACTTTGAACTTGGAATGTTCTCAGGGCAAAGAATTTTACTCCCAAAAAGTGGGCAAAGAATTTTATGCCACACGGTAACCTTGAGAGTTCAAATGGAAAAATTATTTAGTATTTTTTTGGAGCAATACCTTAATGACCCGAACATGTCTTTGGGGCCTTGCACCGAAAGTTTAATTTTTTGTTTTTTTTTGTTGAAATAGTACAATAATAAAAGAAAACGTTTTCCTCTAGTTTTCAAAAAAATATAAATAATTTAAATATAAACATGACAATTCTAAGGAATTGATTGTGTAGTAAAGATTTAAAAATAAGTTCAAAAATCTCGAGTTCAAATTACTTCAAAAAGTCGTTAAAAATTTATCCGATTATACAAAATTTATGAGTAAAATTATTCACAAACAACTGTTTACTAGCACTTGTCAATTTTAATTAGGTGAGCTCACCAAGGTCCAACACACCTTGCATGTTAGTAGGAACCAACAAACAATCAACATAGTGCTAACAAGAAAATTAAATGAAAGAAATGGCCAATTGGAGGGGGGAATAACAAAATAAAAATAAAAAAACATATCATTTCACTCAGCAAAATTCCATTTTTTGTTTTTTATTTTGTTTTTGTTATTGTTGTTGTTGTTGTTGTAAGGCTTTAATAATGTTTTATGTTGTTGACTGTTCCTTATAATAACTTTAAGTCATTTATAACGTTGCAGGAGGAAACAAAATCACAATTATATTTGAAATTATATTTGATAAACTATATTTACACTATAAGATTGTGCAGAAAAATATGTCTTTTTCTTCTTATGACTTTTTTGACATGTGAGTCCTCCGAACCAAAGAATGAGCTTTGAATTTGAGAATTTAAAATAGAGTGGAAAAGACTTTTGCCGTAACTTGAGATAATGTTTTGATGGTTCAATTCACACACAATTGGGTTTTGGGATGAAAAAAAAAAAGTCTTTCTTGTCGGATATTTATATGTATATATTTTTTAATTTTGAAAAAGTGAGATATGGTAGTTAAATAAATACAAATATATATTTTTATTTGAATTTGGGTAACCAAGCTTAACCCAAACTCTTTGGGTTAAAGTCAGATATTCGGGCTCAAACTTAGCAGCTTAATATTTTTTATGATATTTGGTTAAACATGAAAATGAGCCATTATTTTATTGAACCAAATATTGAAGTCATGCCTCTCCATTATTTTGGGCTTCTTTTATAATAATAATTATTATTTTCTGATTCATTACAGGTATAGGCTCTATTTTTACAAACAGAAATGATACATCCCTCTAATTTGAGAGTTCTAAAAGAACATTAATGATGTGAAAAATCAAAAAAAAGGAAAAGAAAAAAAAAATCAAAGTCAAAACATTACATCACATTAGACACACTCACCAATTAAAGTTATTAGAACTCTTAATTTAGAGGTTCCAATTTGTTTTCCATTACAAATATCAGATCTCCTACAAATGCTGAAATAATAGTTGTCACACCATGCGGCAGTCACATGCGTAGACAATCCCACGAACTGGACGCGTGCAGTGCGGTTTGGGTGAGCTATTACGGCTTATATTTTGATAATTTAAATTATTTATTTTATGAGTAAATTATCTATGGAAGAAATTAAATTAATATTTTAAACTTAATATATAATTTAACATATTTATTTCTAAATAAAATTATATTTAGCATTCATTTTTTAAGATGAAATTAAAAAATCAAGTGGTTATAATTATTAAATCAATCTGATTTTTTTATGAATAATTTATGTATAGAGATTTAAAAACAAAAAAACAAATTAAATTATCGAAATGAGATCTATAATAGGCTCACATGCAGGTCCAAACTACACCAATCCAATCCACTAGAAACAAGCCTGTTTCTATATACGATATTCATTTATTTAGTCACTTTTGTTTATTTTTGGAAAGAATCAATCAAAACCCAAGATGCTTAATCACAATCTTAAATTTTTGATCCATCTTATCAAACTAATTACTTTTTAACATAATCACCGGTGTTTAAGGTGGTTTACACATAAAGTTCTTTGCTTAAAGCATACACGCTTAGTAAGATGGTTTGGAAAACAATACAAATGCAATTTTTTTTTTCTATATTTAAAACATTACACAAAATGTATGCCAACATCATTCCATTCATTTTGGATGCGGTCTATATTCCATCAGAATGAATGCAGTGCTTCTACGTTCCAACGCTACATTTAGTGCGCTTTATTTTTTTTTTTTAATATTTTCACACCAAAAATGATTATGGGTTTCACACCCATGTAAGATGGTTATGTTCAATTCTATGATTGGTTTTTGTACAACTAGTATGTTAAGAATTCACTCATATAACTGGTGGATTTTAAAACTAGAGTCAATGTCCAAGTTGATATTTGTTTTAAGAAAGCTTATATTCTGGGTTTAGGTGGGTGGTTACTGTGAAGTGTGGCGTAGAAGCCATTTGAGATTCAAATTAATGATTACTCCCGTTATGTTCTCCTTTGGCCCTCTAACCAGTAGTTTGCTCTTTTCAATCTATAATTCACTCCTCTTCTCTTTTCAAGAGTTGAACTTTCATTTTCTCATGATCATAGCAAAACCATCAAAAGGAAAATCTGTAATTTAAGTTAAATCACTCACCCAAAACCCAATCTACTAAAACTTCATTTGCTGTCCTAACACTCCTCCAACTGCCAAGTTTCGTCTGTCTTGAAAATAAAGTGAAATATCCTTGATAAAAACTTTCATGACCCACCAACAAAATATTATTTTTTATTTCTAAAATACACAAATTAGAAGTATCATTAATGTTTCAATTGATTAACCACCCTATGAGTTCAAACAAAAATATTATGATCTATAAAAAATATTCAGTGAAGTGCTCAAGATTTGAATTTATAATATAAATTTAAACTTGATATGTGCTAGAAAGTGAGCCAATTCCACGCAAGTAGAATACTAAAACTCCAAGATAAGAGATAGTCAAGCGATGTTTGAGTTTTGAGGATGGCTTTGCTCACATCCTGTTGGCTCATCATTGAATCTATCATCATCCCAGATGAATTTCTGAAGTGGTATTGTTTGAGCTTCTACATCCACCCTTTTTTGCTCTTTCTCTGTCAGATCTTCCTATGGATCAAACTGCTACAAACATGGCTTCTACCCATTGTCTCTCCTCCTATTCAAACCACTTGTTTCGTAGCTTCGAGCATTTTCAGGTTTATAACTGGTATCATCTCTCTATTCTCATTCATTAGATTGAACAATATTAAAACTGTACATGACAATTCACTTCTAGTGGAAGAGACTGTAAGAGAACCAAATGTGCATGTTGATGAAGATATAAGCTTGGAGGAGTATGTGTGTTCTGATTGCAGTTCCAATTCAGACACTCAAGATGTGAATATTACTAAGGATTCATCATCCAATTGTGGTTCTGATTCACACACTGAAGATGTGGAAATGGATGTGTCTTTGCCATCGGTGTGCATCTCTGATTCAGCCGTCATGGGACGAGAATCGATTGATGATCAGAGCAGGGAGGCAGATTTAGATTCATTCTACCAGAAGTATACTGACAGGATGAGATGGTTTGATTTATTCAATCATGACAGAACATGTGGTATAAGTAAGTATTCATAATCATGGACGTTATTGCCTAAACATGGCTAATAAAATTATGCACATATTGCACAAGCACATTAGGCTTTTGTGGTAGAATTCACCACTAGTCACCATTTTTTGATTTTCTTTAGTAGCATTTTGATTAGTTATTATGTAGGTGCAATTCTGAACAAGCAATTGCCTCCTACATGTTCATTTGAGAGCATAGAGCAGCCAGTGGAATTGACCTCCATCCCACACATCTCATGGAGCAAGATGTCTAGAAGCAAGCTCTTAAGAAGCTTGGAAAATGACTACGAATTAGTTTATGTGGCTCACTCGTGCTTGTCCTGGGAAGCACTCCATTACCAGTACCAAAAGGTTAGGGCTGTAATTGCACGCTCTGCTTCTCAAAATGCTGCCTTTTGCGATAACGTTGCAGGGAGATTCCAGAAGTTTCAAATACTTTTAGAGAGATTTATGGAAGATGAGACGTGTGAGGGCAAGAAGAGGTATTGGAATTATGTTCAAAGAAGATCATCTCTGAGGGGTTTACTTCAAGTTCCTCAGGTTTCAGGTATTTTTCCCAAAAATACCTAAACTTTGTAATATAATGGAATCAAGTTTATTAAAGTATATACTAAAGCGAGCGATTATTCAGTGTCATGTGTGGCATTGTCCACGCACACCATCTATTCACACATGCCACTTAATAAATTTTGTACAATGTCTCTTGTCCCTTTGCAAGGTTATATGGAGGAAGGAGAAGATGAAACTAAGGGAGAGGTCTCCATGAGGGCAACAGAAGTGTTAAAGGGCATAGAGAAATGCATAAAGACTTTCTGGATATTTGTAAAGACAGACAGGAAGAAACCTTGGTGGAAAATCATGAGGGGTTTCTTATGGACTTGTCCACCATTGGAAGACCCTAGAGACTTGGAACTCCTATCAGATCTCACAAAGACACTCCAAAAGGTACTGCCAATTGAAATATGAGGGACCAAAATGCTATCAAACAAATGCATTGAAGACCATATTAGAGTAATTAGTGCTTGTTTGTTTTTTTCATCATTTGCTTTTAAAATTTGGTTTCCTTGTTATTGAGGATATGATCAACATACTAATTGAAGTGACCTTACTGTTCTGTAGAAGGAGCTATGGCTAAAGGACTTGCAAGGGAAGAAGAGGTGTAGGTTGAAAAGAATAGTAAAACCTATGGAAGAATCTCAAAAGAAGGAAATTTTATTTACTATGATAGACATAAAGTTGATAGCAAGGGTGCTCAAAATGTCTATGATTTCCACTGCTCAACTCAAATGGTGCCAAGAGAAGCTCAATAATATAGAGTTCAAAGAAGGAAAAGTTACAAGGACATGTACATGTTCTCTGTTTCCATCTTCTTAATATTTGTCTGGTAATAAAATTTGTGGCGTTTAATTATGAGTTGAAGCAATTTTAGTTATGAGCTTTTTTATGATGTGTATATACATATATATATTATAAATCAAGCTGATCTTAGTTATGTTATGAATGAAATTTTTAGTGCAAATTGTGTACAAAACTAACCTACCTGTTTGGAATGAGTGTTTGGGCTAAAATAATATAGGACAAAATGGACTATTTTAACCGAATAGAACATTTTAACCAAATAGAACAAAATATCACATCTAGCTCATAATCATTTCATTTTTTCTCTCACAAAAGTTAAAAAAGTCAAAAAGTCCATCTCAAATGAGACTTTTTAATCTCAAGTTAAAATAGCCAAAAGATAAAAAAGTTAAAAAGCCAACTCGCATCCCAAACAAACCGTGAAGAAACTCAACACGAGTAATTGGTTTGGGGTGGAATGGAAGTTCCACCTTAAATTTTTTTGTTTATAAATTACTCATTATAAAAAAAATAAATAAATAAATAAATAAAAATTAGATCACATAATTAAGTGTAGAAAAGTTCACAATAATAAATGATTACAATAAATTATATAAAATATATACATTACATATAAAATTGTGTGCAATTTATGTATATATATTTGGTTTTCAAGTTGTTTGAATTAGTCTTAAGCTACGCCAGGAACAAAATGATCTAGTTAATGGATCAATTTTAGACTTAAACTAAAATTGATTTTTTTAGATGATTTCTAATTTTTTTGATAAAATATTTGTTTAAAAAAACCCGAAAAGAAAATATTAAATTGAACAACCAACTAACAAAATCTAACCCAAAACTGATAAAGCCAACTGAAGCAAAGGAACTTTATACTATTTCTATTCTACTATTTTTATCAAGTTAAGTAACAAAAAGAAAACAAGGAGAAGTTAGGCAACGAAAGAGATGGAAAGAATTTACATTGTCTATTATATTAGTGTAAAAGTCAATATATAGAATATAAGATGGATACAAACAAAACAAAAAACTTAATGCATACCTAACTTGGTTAGACTTACGGCCAAAGTTTGCACAAAATTCCGACTACCTAGTCATAAGCTTTATAAAATGTCTACATAAAAATAAATACAAAGAGACAAAAAAGTCTAAAGGAAAAATAACATTAATTTGCCATATTTTGATAAACTACAATTTTATGCATTTGTCTACCCTCCCCAGTTTTCAAAGGGATAGACTGAAACAGATAAGATTTGGCTGATCTTTTCTGTCTTGTAACGTTGGCTGAAAAGATTTATCTAACCACTTTCCGTCTAATAATGGAGGTTGCTCCACGTGTCCTCTGTAACAGGGGTGTTCGCAGTTCAGATTTGGACGGTTTGTGGATCGGTTTGGACACGCCCGCATCTATGCGGTTTGGGAAAAAGACAACCCGCAACCTCCCGCAGTGCGGTTTGCAGTTTGTGCGTATAGGGTTCGTGGATGTGCGGGCGATTTGCAGATTGGATTTTTTTCTTCAAAAAATTATTTTTTAGCCTTATTTTTTTCCCATTTTGTAAATATTTATTTTGGGCCCTTTTCTCCCCATTTTCTAAAATGCTCCAACATCAATAATTAATTAATTAAAACTTATAAAATTAAAAATACAACAAAATCAATTCGAAAGACAAACAAATCATTAAAAATCTTAAATCAAATTATAAACTAACACAAGCATATATTTCAAAATCCTAAACTATAACTCCATATTCATTAAGGAATTTAAAATTCTAAATCACATTTCATCCGAGACAAGTTCAGTTATGTAACAATAATAATATGATCAGTATTTATTCAGTTTCAGTTAATATAATACTATTAGCAAATGTAATGCTAGAGTAAGTTCAAAAAATAAAGGGTGTTTTGTTTGGACAAAAATATATAGGTGGGATATAGAAACGAAATCAATAGTTAAGATAAAAAAAAATAAATTAATATATAAAGTGCGGACGGTTTCTTGCGAGTGCGGGTTAAACCCGTAACCTGCCCGCAACCTGCAAAGATGTCATATTTCAAACCACATCCGCCCGCATTGTATTTGCAAAACCATCCATTTGTATGTGGGTTGGGCGATTTTTGCGGATCGGATAAACCGTTGCCCACCCCTACTCTGTAAGGTTGAAGTCTATTAGGAGACAACTGCATGTGATAGTGGGGTCCACTATGTTTCCATCCTGTTGATGAGATTGTGATACTCTTCATCAATCTCTGATGGAGAGGAATCAGGAGCCTAACTGTATTGCTCATTCCAAAAATGTTCTATATCATCCATAGTCATGACTAGTTCCAACGGAAGATCTAAATTATTTCTCTTTTTTAGATTTAATAACATGTCAAGAGCCTCATTAATTTGTGTAGGAGACCTCTAATATGTTATGGAAAAATGAGTTTGTTGGCTACATATTTTGTAAAAGCCAGTTACAGTTCGACACGTGGCATAGTAAGGGTAATAAAGGAAGGTTATTCAAGCCTTTAATTGACGATAAATAACAATGTTGCTGAGCCATGGATATTAGAAGCTGCTTATGAAACAGATATTAGACTGTCTATCCAATATTCTATTAAAGAAAGTTTTTGAATGGTTTTCAATTGCTGTCTCCTGTAATCTTCATCCAAATAATCATCTTCAAATTCAAAATCTTCAGTTTTTTTAAGATACCAAATTTGGTATGGTTAGAAAAAAATGTCCTCGTTCCCGCCAACCAACAGTGCTGAAGATTCAGAAAGTAAAATATTTACTCTATAGGAAGCCTTTTACTACCCATGAGAGCATTGCTTTTATGATCAATGGATATTCTATCCATTGGATTGGAACTAACATTTGGAAAATAACTTGATTAGTTATTCCCCAATCTATGTCTTCAAAAAACCACATGTCATGATTTGTTATGATGGTTATTTTGGAAATTTCATCTTTAAAATTTAATTTATCATAAGATCGTTCTAAGATTTGTCTAATCTTATCACGATGATCCTCGACTCGATTTTTTATTATCAAAAAAATTTCTTTTGGAAGAAAAGTTTTTGCTTTTTCAAAAAGACAATTTTTTTTTATCAGAAAACTCATCTGATATGAGATCTGATAGTTGAAGAAAATTGTTTATTTTTTCAAAATTAAAATCTTCATTCCAATTCATTTGTTTAAGGATATTGAAACAAAGATTTTGCAAATCTTTTAATTTAGTTGTTTACTCAGCTAATTTGTTGGCCAGAACTCCCATGTGTTTTCGAAATTTCACTTTGTTGTCTATAATGTGAGTTTTCCAAACTCCATTAAATTATGTATAAATTTCTCTGGATATACCAAGGTTGAGAAAATCTTTTATCTCAGATTCATCTGGTTTAGATGTCTGAATATTAGTTGGAACTAGGTTAGTTCTTATTTGACAAAAATTATTTTGATAAACAGGCATAGCTGGCGCACTGTAAAAAGCTTTTTTAGCGTTAATCATGCTATCATAAGATTTATAGCTTGCTCCTGAAAATCCTCAAACTTGCGTTTTGCAATCATTCTATTCTATGTAAATTCCAGATTGTCTTCCTGAAAAAACAACATAAACTTTTTCTTGTCTGGGGATTGCTTTTTTAGCAATTGTCTCCCAATCTCCTTAAGCGGATTGTTTACCCTTATCCATTGTTTCCTCTTGGTTTAGAGGCCTTCTGCAAAAATTAAAATTACTTGTTTAGTAATTTAATTTTTTTGAAATAATTCCTACAAAGAAAATCTGCAAGAAAATTGTTAGTACCTTTAAGATATTCTATCTCAAAAGTATATTCAGAAATTTTATTATACCAGACTAATCTTCTTCCTTGCTCAATAAGTTTTTTATTGATCAAGAAATCTCTTACTGCCTTATTATCAGTGCGTACAATAAAATTTTTTGGGGCTAAATGAATATGAAAACTTTTTATTGCCAATTTTATCGCAAGTAATTCTTTTTCAAAAATAATACATTTCTGTTTATTTGGTTTAAATGTTCTAGAATTATATCCACAAATTAATTATTTTTTTTTTTTTGTAATTTTATGGGTATTGAATTTTTTCTTGGTCTAATCTCATTTTCTGATAAAGGTATCTTTTTATCATGCCATAAATTACTTGGTATTGCTTTAAGAACACATCCCCAGCATGCTTCTGAGGTATCTGTTTCTAAAATTAATTTATCACCTGTTTTAGGAAGATAAATATCTGGTAGAGTTTTAACATTTTCTTTAATTTGTTTAATTAAAGCAACATCTTCTGCTGTCCATTCAAAAATAACATTTTCCCTTAATTTGGTTAACCAAGGAATTTCTATTTTTGAAAGATTTTTGATAAAATTTTGTCCATAATTTAAAATACCTAATAAACTCTGTAATTGTGTTATATTTCCAAGAGTATGAAGAAAATCTCGTACTTTGGATAAAATATGTTCTTATAATTTTAAACCTTTTTGGTCTAAAATTATTCCCCAAAATTCAATTGATTCGTTTTCTAGTTCAATCTTTTTTGGAGACAAAATAATTCAATATTTTTGGAATTTTTCACAAAGTAATTTTAAATGTTTCTTATGCTCCTCCCGGGTTTTGGAGAAGATAAGTATATCATCAATATAAGCTACACAACAATCTTTAATATCTTTAAAAATTGTATCCATCCATTGTTGAAATACCTGTGGTGCTATATTTAACCCAAAAGGCATAACATTCCAGTGGTAATGTCCTCTAGGTGTACTAAAAGCTGTCAATTTTTTTGATTCTTCAGTCAATTGAATTTTTCATAATCCACTCTTACAATCAAATTTGCTAAAGATTTTTGATCCTTTGGTTAAATTAATCAAAACATCTTTTCTTGGAATAAAATATCCATCAAATTCTAAATTTTCATTTAGCCATTTATAGTTAACTACCATTTGAGCTTTTTCTCTTTTAATTTCAGTATGGTTTCTTACCATAAAAGCTGGACTAGGGTAAAGGCTTCTAGTTTCTTCGATTAACTTTTTGTCTGAAAGTTGCTGAAGTTGAATATCAAATTCATCTATATCTTGTCTAGTATAGATCTATCGTCTTACTCTAATGATAACATTAGGGTCTTTTAATTTCAAACTACAATAACGTGGATTACGTTGCCA